AAAAAAAAAAAAAAAAAAAAAAAAAGTAAGAGAAAAAGTCCAGGGAAAGTGCTTTGCTTCCAGCCAAAAAGAGTACCTCCCTCCCTGCTTGAAACAACTGACCCAGACAAAGATTTGCAATGGTTTTCAAAACAAGGCATATCAGAAAATGAAGGGCAGCCGGGCACCAGTGGCTCATGCCTGTAATCCTAACTACTCAGGAGGCAGAGAGCAGGAGGATGGTGGTTTGAGGCGAGCCCTGGGCAAGTAGCTCACCAGCCCCTATCTTGAAAATACTCAACACAAAACAGGGCTGGCAGAGTGGCTCAAGTGGTAGAGAGCCTGCCTATCATGAGGCCCAGAGTTCAAACTCCAGTGCCGCCAAAAGGAAAAAATAAAGGAAATCCTTGTCATAGTTCTGGGGAGAACATTCTCTTTCATTTGTTCATTGGTTCCTTCATTCAATGAATACAAAGCATATGCTGGCCAGTCATTTAATCTGTATTAAAAACCCTATCAGAGCCAGGTGACGGTGGCTCATGCCTGTAATCCCAGCTACTCGGGAGGCAGAGATCAGGAAGATCGTGGTTTGATGCCAGCCTGAGTGAACAGTTTTTAAGAGACCCTATCTCGAAAAACCCCATCACAAAAACAGGGCTGGTGGAGTGGCTCAAGAAGGAGAGCACCTGCCTAGCAAGCATGAGGCCCTGAGTTCAAACCCCAGTAGTGCAAAAAAAAGAAAGTATGGTACTGGCATAAAAAAAAAAAAACCCACTGACCAAAGGAACAGCATAGAGAGCCCAGAAATAAATCTGCATCTTTACAGTCAACTGATTTTTGACAAAAGTGCCAGGAATATACAATGGGGAAAGAACTGTCTTTTCAACAAATGTGATTGGGAAAACTGGATATCCAAAGGCAGAATGAAATTAGACTTATTTCACACCATATATAATAATCAACTCAAAGTGGATTAAAGACTTAAATGTAAGACCTACAATTATAAAAGTACTACTAGAAGAAGACATATGGGAAACACTCCAGGAAGCTGGTCCTGAACAATGAATAGGACCCCAAAAGCAAAAATAAACTAAAAACAATCTAGCCACAGAATGGGAGAAAATATTTACAAACTTACAAACTATACATCTGATATGGGGCTAATATTCAATGAGGAACTCAATAGCAAAAAAAGAAAAAAAACAAAAATAACCCAAAAATAACCTAATTACAAATGGACCCGCCAGGAGATGGTGGCTCACATTTGTAATCCTAACTACTTGGGGGGCTGAGACCGGGAGGATCGCGGTTTTAGGCCAGCCAGGGCAAATAGTTTGAGAGACTCCCGTTTCCAAAATAACCAGAGCAAAATGGACTGGAGAAGACGTGGCTCAACAGTAGAGTGCCTGAACTGCAATTGCAAAGCCCTGAGTTCAAACCCCACTCTCACCAAAAAAAAAAAAAAAAAAAAAAAAGGCAAATGACCTGAATAGACTTTTCTCAAAAAGAAGATACATGACGGCTTGGGATGCAGCTCAGTAGGTGAGTGTTGGCCTAGCATGTATGAGGCCTTGTGTTTGATCTCCAGTACTGGAAAAAGAAAGATACACAAATGGACAATATGAAAGACTGCATATCACTAATCATCAGGAAAATGAAAATCAAAACTACAGTGAGACATCACCTCACACCTGTTGGAATGGCTACTATCAGAAAGATAACAAGTGCTGGCAAGGATGTAGAGAAGGGGATCCTTGCACACTGTTGGTGGGAATGTATATTAGTAGTCAACATACAGCAGTGTGTTGTGGAGGTTCTTCAAAAAATTAAAAATAGAACCACCATAGAATCCCACAAACTCACTACTGGGTACAAAGCCAAAGGAAATGAACTCAGCATGTCAAAAAAAATTTGCACACCTCTATTTACTGCAGCATTAATCACAGCAGTCCAGAATTGGAATCTTCTAAGTGTTCACTAACAGATGAAAGGATTAAGCTGGGGGCGTGGCTCAAGTGGTAGAGCAACTGCCTGGCAAGTACGAGGCTCTGAATTCAACCCCAGTATCACCTAAAAAGAATGCACTTACTGTGCGTAACTTATAAATTAATCTTTATCTTAGGTATGCGTGTATAGGAAATAATATATATAGGGTCTGGTACAGTTTCAGATATCTACTAGGGGTCTTACAATGTATCTATGGGTAAGGGGGAACTATAGTATACTATGAACCCGAAAGCAATCGGAAAATAAAACCAAACAGTCAGCTAATAAGCCAATAAAAGAGATAAGGTGGAATCATAAAAATACTTGATTAAGCAAGGGAAGAGGGAATAGGACAAACAGAAAATAGCTAGCTAGATGAATGACTCAAACATTAGTACATCAATAATCACACCTCAGTCAGGTGCTGGTGACTCATGCCTGTACTCTTAGCTTCTTGGGAGGCTGATATCAGGAGGATTGTGGTTCAAGGCCAACACGGGTAAATAGTTCATGAGACCCCATCTCCAAAATAACCAGAGCACCTGTCTAGAAAGTGTGAGGCCCTGAGCTCAAACCCCAGTGGTACCAAAAAACAAAATTAAACAACTTCCAAAAAAAAATTACACCTTGATTAAAAGATAGTCATAATATAAAAATTAAGACACCACTTAATTTACCTGTTAAAAAAGCACTCTTAAAACATTAATATACAATGGCCAGGCATGGTGGCTCACATTCCAGCTACTCAGGAAGTAGAGATCAGGAGGATCTTGGTTTGAGGCCAAGTGGGGCAAAAAGTTAGTGGAACTCCATGTCAACAAACAGGCAGGGACCATGTGGGGCACACCTGTCATCCCAGCTCTGAAGGAGGTATAGGTAAGAGCATCATGGTCCCAGGCAAGCCCAGGGAAAAAGCAAGACCCTATCAGAAAAATAACAAAAACAAAAAGGGCTAGAAATACACAAGGGATTGACATCAGCAAAATGGCTAACATGAGGAAAACAAATGAAATTTTCAGAACCACCTGTGTTAGACTTTTGTGAAACCCTCAAAGGTTTCCAGCAACTGAGTGTGTAATCAAGAAAAAGACACCTTCAAAAGGACGGGAATGTATGTGGTATTTTTTACTTACCTTTACCTCACCTTCTCCTCTGCACTGTGGCAGTGCTGATGTTCACTCCCTCTAGTTTGAGGGAGGGAGCTTTATTTGCTAATTACTTTTTCTTGCCTTCTTGATTGATTCATCACTCTATTCCCCCTGCTGTTGAAATTTATACTTTATTCTTTAGTCCTCTTCAGATTTTTCTAAAATGAAAACTCTTTCAGAAGATGCATACCTAATACACTTTGTCTTGCTTTCTGGTTCTAATTTCAAGTATGTCTAATGTTGTTAAACTCATCCATTCACTTCTTCAAATTTATCTATTTCAGGTCTATCATTTCTTATTTTTGTCATTGTTTTATTGACAGGGCCTTGCTACGTAGCCGTGGCTGGCCTTGAACTTGTCATTCTCCTGCCTCAGCAGGAGTGCTGGGATGGTGTGTGTCATTCCATTTGGCTTTACTTCTCTTTCAACTTATTTTCAAAGTGGTTTTTTTTTTTGTTTGTTTTGGTGCTGGAGATCAAACCCAATGCCTGTACATGCTAGGCAAGTACTCTACCACTGAGCTACTTATTTTCAAATTTTTAAATTCTTTGTTCACTTTTAGTCGTTTTTATCTCCATGATGATAGTAAGTGTAACTACTTTCATTATATGGCAGTCAGGATTAAGTATGAGATGTATGATCATGCCAGAATGAGGCTTCTCTGTGTAACTGTCTATTATTGTCTTACATATATTGTCTTCTTTCGAGATGTCTTTGGGCTGGGTTGTAATGGTGGACACCTGTAATTCCAGCATTTGGGAGACTAAGGCTGGAGGATCACAGGTTCAAGGCCAACCTACACTACATGTAGTGAGTTTCAGACCAGTCTGAGCTACATAGCAAGACTTTTGTTTTGTCTCACAAAACAAAAGTAAAACAAAAAAGATGACTTGTTAGATCAGGGAAATTATTTTAAACAGTTTCACTTTTAGATGGGATTTGTAAGTACTTGGTGGGGGGGAGCCATACTACTGATTATCTATAGTTAGAGGCATTTCTGTACATTCAGTTAATTCTGAGCCAGCTTTTTTTTTCGTGGTGCTGAGAACTGAACTTAGGGCTTTGCACATCAGGCAAGTACTTTACTTCTGAGATACATCCCCTGCCTCTGTGCCAGCTCTGCCTGCTTCTTCATCTGCAAAATGGAGTGATGACAATGATTAAACCACATGGTCAATTTTTTCAGCAGTACTGGCGATTGAACTCAGGGCCTCATGCTTGCTATGCAAGTGCTCTACCACTTCAGCCACACCTCCAGCCCTCATGTTCTTCTTAAGGATTCAAAGACAGTTTCTGAATTCCGGGATCCGATTATACCTGAAACTAGGACTTTTGTTCTTATTTTCACTTAAGTCAATTTGAGCTGGGTTCCTCACAGCAACACCCTTGACTCCTGCCTCTGTCAATGACACAACTGGGAGGCTTGTGGGTGGCAATGCTGGGGCCGAGTGACCTTCCCAGTGGGTCCTGCCAGGCCCAGTGCAAAGGTGGCATGCGGGGAATGCTGAGGGAATGGCTCCTCAGCTGCCACTGATCAGGCCTCTCTCCCTCACAGGGAAGGGCTAGGTAGCTTATGTATGTCCAGATGCCACACATTTGTCCTCTCTATTCCATCCCCCAGCTGTCCTCACTTGAGCCTAGGTTCTCAGAGGTGACAACTGGTTCTTCTGGGAGGGGCTCAATGGGAGATGTTCAGTGCTCACACAGCGTCTTGTCTGCTCAGTCCCATTCCGTGACAGGTGCTCCCATCTCACTCTTCTCTGGGGAGGCGGGAGGGCACCTGCCTGGTTATGGGAGCTAGGGTCCTGCTGGGGTGACAAAGACACGTCTGCCCTGTCACCTGGCTAGTCTGGTCAGGTGTACCATCTCCACATCAGTTCTCAGAGGGTCTAAGTCCTCTCAGAAGACACTGTCAGGGGTCTGAGAGGTGCGGTGGTGAGCACCCTTATATCCTGAAACCATGTTTGCCCACAGGGATGCCTGTCTTCCAGGTAGCCCTCTGCATGTTAGCCGTAGTAAAACTCAGGTTCCCAGAAAGATCTGCAGCCTTGGGGTCCAGACAGGTCAAATGCCCCCTCTGGAAACCAAGTCCAGTGTGACCAATGAGATTACACCAACCTCCTGACAGACCCCAAGCCATTCCTTCACCTCTGTACCTCATTTTCCCCATCTGAAACCACAGATCACAACTCACACATTAAGACTGTTGAGGACTGAGTATTTGTAAAATGCTTTGGGAAAAGCTGGGCACATAGCTGGGATGTATGTGCCTGGCACACAGCTGGTGCTCAATAAACATTCAGAACAGCATCTGCCACACACACCTGGACCTTGATAAGCACACAGAACACAGGCCTAAACTGGTGATAAGTGCACAGGGAAAACCACACTGCTGAGTAAGGAACAGACTGGAGCTTTATATATATAACACACACAGCAGAAGGTACAGGGTCTCAATAAGAAAATACACTCTGTGTCCAGGTTAACCCCCATCACCAGCCACTAAAAACACTCCAGGGTGAAGAAAGGGAAGGGGACACCATAAATAAGACTAAGAGGGAAGGTCACTGTTCTACAGGGCACACACAGGCGGGGGCACACTGCCAGGGGCACAGGGCCTCTTCTTCCTGGGAGAGAGCAACGCAGCGGCACAAAACAGTAGCCATGGACTAAGCCTGCCAACACCTGGGGGGGGCACTGAACATGGGGAAGAGAGGGATTGACAATAGAAGCAGGGTGGCAGAGAGGCCTTCTTTCCCTGTGTGGGTCCCAGGACACCTCAGTTAACATCCATGAACTCAGGGTTGGGTGAGGAACCGCAGGCTGGGGATGCCAGGGGGCCAGATGAGCTGGGCTGGGGCTGGCGGCGTGCCACATCCTGGCGTTGGTAGAATAGGACATACGCTGCCTTTGACTGTAGGTAGAGGACTCAGGTCAGATGTTGGGGGTGGGGGAGCAGGTGTAGACAGGAGAAGGGAAGGAGGGAGGACCGAAGCTGTACCTCAATCTGATTCTCATTTACAGGCAAGACACTGTTGTCATCAAAGTAGTGCCACTGGCCGCTGTCCTTGTTGCAGGCAAATGTTGTGTCTGAAAGAGTTGGGATGCCAGTCTCACCCACCCTTCTGGCCCTCCAAGGTATCCAGACTCCCTTTTAGTCCTCCTGTCCTGATAAGCTCTCCCCTGGCCCACATGCCTAGTCACCCACTGGGGACAAACTGAGCCCTAGCCCAGACCCCCAGGGCATGCCCCTGCCCACAGCTCAGCACATACAGTGTCCATCACGCATGCCCCCATAATGGTTGGAAACCGCAATGAGATCGTATTTGTACAGCTCCGGAGCTGACTTGTTCTGTGGTTTGATGACAAACTCAGAGAAGTCCAGATCCCTGTGGACAGGGACACAGTTAATACGAGGGCCCCCACCACCACTTCCCATGCCTCCCCCCAACATTCTGCCCACGGCCTCTGACCGGATAGGAAACTGCACTAGGGTGTCCAGCTTCTCATGGGAAAACTTGGAAAAGGAAAAGCGCTTCAGGTGGATGATGAGAATCTCAGGCAGTGTCCACAGGTCCAGCTTCTTGGTGGCCAGCTGGTGCTGCTTGCAGGAAGAGCAGTACCTACAGACAGCCCACGTCAGGAAAGGGACATCGGGGCACTGTATGGCCTTCACATGCTCAGTCTGACCCTCAGAGATGCTCTTTTACTTATCTTTTGCTTTGTTTTGTTTAGACATGGTCTTATTTATGTAGCCCGAGCTAGCCTTAAACTTGCCATCTTCCAAGTGCTGGGACTGCAGGTGGACGCCATTTGCTTTCATTTTTTAAAAGGATGCCCTGACTTTCAGCCTGCCTGGTACTCATTTGCTCTTATTTGCACTTCTGCTAGCAAAGGCACTGAGGTGGGCATATGCAGGGAGTGATGGTTAGCCCATGTGGCAGGAAGGAGTGTGAGAGAGGGGAAGGAGGTACACTTGGCAAGATACTGGGTCTGGGCAGAAGTGCCATGTAGCAAAGCCCCTCCCAGCTATACCAGGCCCTCACCAGGGGTTTTCTTTCTCCAGGGTCTCCACAGTGGTGAAGAGCTCAATGCATTCCTGCAGCTGCACTGGGGCCTTCTTCAGCACGTAGCCCACGCAGTCATGTTTCACATAGCCCTGGGGGGGGAGGTGAGTGTCCAGCAGAGCCAGGAGTGAGGAGGATGGAAAAACAGGGCCCAGGATGTAGCCATAGATCAAATGATGCTAAGAACCTGAGGCCCTGGGCTGGGATCTCTTGGCTCTGGTCCCAGTTGGAATTGGGGGAAGGGGGATGGGTGTATGAAGATTTGAGAGGTGCAAGCTGCAAGTGTCCCCGATCCCTGGGGTCCCATTTACCTCAGCCTCCACTTCGTCATAGTAGCGCCTCTTCATTTCTGGCTCCCAGTCCATGGCGATGTATGGCTGGGCTGCGGGGCACAAGAGAGGTGGTCACAGCTCCTGCTGCTACAAAATCCTTCCTCCTACTGCCCCAGCCAGGCTCCCAGCCAAAGGACATACTCTGCACTTCTTCAGGAGAGGTGGTGCGGTCACTGGTCCCATTGGAGTTCACTGTCTGCAGAGTGAAGAGTTGCTTGCGCTGTCGCCTTGGGGGCCACTGAGATGTGCGAAGACAGTTGTCCAAAAGGAACGGGCATCTCCTGTTGACCCCAGAACTGGGCCCAGCCTGCTCCCGCTCGGAGTCTCGGAGGCTGCCCCTGGTGGATGGCCCAGGCATGTCATCTTTCTCCTCCTCATCGCTGCTGTCCTCATCTTCGTCGTCGTCTCCTGGGTGGGGAGGATGTCAGGGATGGGAATTTGTGAGCCCCAGGGAACTAAGCTGAATGCACACCCAGATAAATGCTGTGTGGGTTCTACCTACGCCTGACCACCCCCCACTGTCTCTCAGCCTCTCACCCCAACTTAAGCCATGGGATACATGTACAGACCCTCACCTTTGTTGACCTTCTCTCCCTTACCTTTCTCATCTCCATCGTCCTCCTCATCAGAGGTGGGCTTGGTCACGTATCGTCTGTGACAGAACAGAGGAAACTTCCAAGGCAGAGGTCCAAAGGCAGTGGGGGCAGGGCCCAGGATTTTACTTTGGTGGCGATGGAGGGAAAGCCAGCAGTAAACCCACACATAAACAGTTCCTAATCATGGGCCTGGAAGCTGTGAGGTGGTGACATAAATACATGGAGAGGGGAGGATGCCAGCAGTGGTCTGAGAATGCAGGCTCTCCTGTGCCAGTCAGGAGTGTGGACTCCGAGTCACAGGTAAACAGACACGCTATGAATTCCCCTCAGGGAGGCCTCTGGGGGGTTGACTTTAAGTAAAAGAAAGGGAATTATCCAGACAATGCAATGCTTTGTTTGTCATAGTAAGGACTGGATTTTAAGTACAATGAAAATCTGCCAGTAAAAACACATCCAAGTCTCTCAAGGAGGAGACAATTAAATGCAAGATGAACTTGACTCTACTTTGTCTTGTTCACCTCTGCATCCCCAGCACCTAAAAAAGGCAGTAGCAAGGCCAAAGGGGAAAAAAAAACCCTACAAGTTCTTCTATGGCCACATTAAATTTGAACTGTCCTTTAAATGCCGGAGAGGGTCAAATAGCAGATGAATACTCAGGTCTGAGTTCAGGCCCCCACCTCCCTTGACCCTGAGAAGGGGACACTTACGAGAGCCGGTATATCAGGATGTTATATAGGCCCTCCCAGGAGAACCGGTCCCGAGGCACTGACACCAAGAGAGGGTGCCCAAAAAGTATCAGACCATAATAGGAGTTGTTGTAGTCTCGGGCTGGGGTGCGCTCCCGCAGGTAAACAGGAACCACGATGTCATCTCGTGAGCCCTCGATGGGCTCAATCCGACCTGTCACCTCGTATCTGTGGGGGGTATACGTTAAGTCACTCCTGATCAGGGCATCCCAAGAAAGCCTCCCTGACTGCCCCAGGTGCTCCATGCGCTAACTCCTCACAGCTTGAAAATGTTTTTTAAAAGGTTCTGAAAAGCCACCAAATGTTTTGTGCTTTACAAACTGATGACTGACATGGTACTTTGTGTATGTGCTGCTGTTTTAGAAAGTTAACAAAAAATTTTTAGTGACAAAGGGATTCAAAAACCATTTTCTCGGGCTGGCAGAGTGGCTCGAGTGACAGAGTACCTGCCTAGCAAGTGTGAAGTCCTGAGTTCAAACCCCGGTCCCACCAAAATAATAAAATAAAAATAAAAACTCACCAAAAACCCTCCATTTTCTTTTGAAAAATAATGCTTGGTTTATAAAGAAAATTTATATTACAAAGTACTGTTTAATTTTTAGTTGCCCAAAAATTTTTAAATTGTTCTAGGAATAGGATATAGTTTGTCTGTCTAACCTAAATATGGCCCTGGGTTCAATCCCCAGTATGGTTACATACGTAAGTAAAAAAGAAAGTCTATGCATCAGGCTGGGGGTGTGGCTCAGTTAGTAGAGTGCTTGCCTAGCATGCTCCTGAGACCCTGGTGCCCAACCCCAACACTGAAAAAAAGGAAGCAGGTCAGGTTTCTAAGGACCCACTGCTCCCCCTGGGTCCCCTCACTCACACGAAGATATCATCGCGGTCCAAGATGCCACTCAGAGGGTCCTCTAGCTGGTAGAGCTTATAGAAGCGGTGACTGAAAACATCAGCCACTATCATCTGGGAATGGGATTGCAGGGACTGGTCAGTCTGCAAAGTCTCCCCAGGCCTTTCCACCAACTTGTCCCTGAATCCCATCCACCTGACCTCCCTCTGCAGCATCTCACCTTGTCTGGTGCGATACCTGTGTGTTTGGACAGAGCCACACACAGATCCGAGATAATGCCTTTCTTGGGGACCACAACACGGTGCTGAGGAAGAAAAAGCATTCATGAGATATCAAAAGGGCTGCAGAAAACCTTAAGGTGTGGCAAGGTAGTCAAACTGACCACATGTCCCTCATTGTGTCCCCATCCCTCACACCTGTTCTGGCTTGCGGCGGGGATCCATGGGCACAAAGAAGACTTCCAAGACCCTCTTGTGGCAGACAGGCAGTGGGACGCTGAGGTAGCAGAAGGGGTCAAAGGTCACAGACACATTGCCACAATCGGGACACACCAGCGTGGACTTGAAGAGACCATGGAAAGTGTCCACGATCACAGAATCATTCCGCCGTTTGTGGTTCTGCCAGGCCTTCTGAGCCACCTCCTGTTGACAGTATCATTGTAGGTGATGGGATTGCCTCAAGTGAAACCATGGTTTGGGGGACGGAGTCATATGGGATTCAGGGTAAGGACAGTGTTAAAAGTCCAGCTGTGGAGTTCCAGCTCAGGCTATCTGGAACCCATGCTCACTTCAGGTTTACGTGGGACAGGAACCTGGTTGGGATTAACTCTGAGTTGGGTATGGGGACAGATGTGGCACTGGAGCTAAGGCTGAGAGAAGGTGGACTGAGTTTATGGCAGAGGAACTTAGAAGGCAAGAGAATCCCTGGGGCAGCAGCCTCAGTAGCTTTAATGAGCCTTTCCATGTGGGGAATTTTCAGGAACAGTCTACCTGATCTGGACGCCCTGCAGCATCACACAGCTCAACATACTCCTTCTTCTTCACCCGATTAAGGTCCTCATGCAGCCCATCCAGGAGGAATGACAGCAGTTCCTGCGAGTCATGCTGCTGGTAGCCCAGAAACTGGGATGCAAAATGGCCGACCTTGTTCTGAGGAGGGCAAGGCCATCAAAGTGAGCAGGGAGTTAGGAGAGGCAAGAGAAGTTGGGGGGCAGGGGCGCATGGGTTTGAGGCATACCTTGAACACATTTGGCACAATAGAGCGGTGGTATCCAGACCATGCCTGCTTCACCAGGTCTGCATAGGCCTCAGCAAGCTCACCCTTCATGCCCAGTGGGTTGCGGAAGTTGAGCTCCTTCAGGTAGTGGTTGTTGAGGAAGTACTCAGTGAGCTGTGGTACATTGCTGAGGCACTGTGTGGGCAGGGCCCGGTGAAAAAGGCAGAGGAGAGGAGAGAAGTAGTCCAAGTGAGGACAGAGAAATGGAAGGACGGACAGAAAAGACAGGAAAGTGGGGGACACAAGGGGGAAGGGCCGGAGTGAGAAGGGAGCTGGAGAATTAGGGAGAGATGTTAGTACTTCTGGAGAAGGAAGGTGGTGGCAAAGAAGAGAAGGGAAAGCAAAGAGCAAGTGAAGGGAGAAGGTGTTGATACTTCAAGAGCCAATGTGGGCATGTCAATTCACAATTATGGGACCTTGACTTCCAACCTAACCCCTTGTCCTGCAGTCATCCTCCCATTCCCATCCCCTAGTTCTAGTCCCAATTCCCAGCACTTGAAGCCACCCCATGGCTGTGCCAGACATATCTCTAATGGCCCAACCTGTAGGGCCGAGTTCATGAAGCACGTGTTGCCCAGATTGGTAAGGCCACAGATGCCCGGCTGGCCTTGGAAATCCTCATCCTCTTCCGACATGTTCTTCCTGGGGTTGGATGAGAAACCCTATCAGCTGAGGGCCTACTATGTGCAGGTGCACTGTACTCATAGGTTCAGTCTGCCTTCTGTGGGATGCCCCTACTCTCTATACCAGACACCCCAAGGGCTCACATGCCACGCAGCTGTGTGCTGGGCCAAGTGCCATCTTTGTTTCGGGTCTCCATGATGACCAACTGGGTTGGAAGAAGTGAAAAGAGAGAAGGAAAGGATTTAATGGAAGGCTTATTGGGTACCCAGCCCTCCCCCGACCTGAGCACTACCAGGCGAGAACCATCTGCCAGGTCACCCGTACCCGAAAAGTCCTCCCTCCACTTACCTGCCCATTCTCGAGGGCAGCATCAAGTAGTGTGATGTGTGTGTTGCACAGCCGATCCAAAGAGCCCTCTGAGCTCTTGACCCAGAGGCGTGTGTCTTCCTGGGGCTCCACCTGAAACTGCTCCCGAGCCGTGCGCAAGACCAGGTCTAGGGAGGGTGATGGGGCACAACCAATTATCTTCTGAGACTTGCTGAGACCCAGAACTGACACATTTCGAGAGTCACTCACCCCGACAGACTTCACACATGCTCAATTCCTTGTGTCCCCAATCAGTCTCTGAATGACTGACCCACACCCAGAACTTGAGACCCCCCCAGTGAAAGTCCTCTGCCACACCACCGAAGCTACTAGAACGCAGCTCGCATACCCTCAGGACTCTCAGACTCCAACTCTTCCCAGTCTGACCAATGCCTTCTCAGGTGGCCAAAGCCTAACTCCACACCTCCTCAGGACACTGAGCAGTGACCTGAATTGGCAACACCAACTTATCGCATGACCCTCACACTCACCCAGAGAATCCGTGTGGCTGAACTGAGCAGTGAGGGCTGCATCCATATCACTGTGCTGGACAAGCAGCAGCTCTACTGGGTACACTTCCACTTTCTGGATGCTGGGCAGCTTTATGACCTGTGAGGACAAAGAGGCACAGACACAACATGGGTCCACCCAGCAGACATGGAGATACATGGACACAAGGGTCCTGACTCACCTTGGCCCTACAAGGCCTTCCTCCTCCCGACCTCCCAGCACCCACCCCCACCCAGCCCACATACCTTGCGTTCAATGGGCGGTTGGCCATGCACTAGGCCGTACCAGCTGACCAGGCAATCCCAAGCAGCTGCTGGGAGCAGCACATAATCCTCACCTTCCACCAGTCCCTTCTTGAGGCACCAGGTAATCTCATCTGCAAGGTGAGGAAGGCAAAGCATGAATCAGGGGAGGACTGATAAGTGATTCTGGCCATCCCACCAATGACCTAGTACAGAGAATGGGCTTATGATTATTTATAGGGGCAGAGGGAACAGGAACTCCAAGACAATGATGATGGAGGAGCGGGAAGGCAGAGGCCTGGTACCTTCAAAGAGCTCAGCATTGTTGATGCAGCCAGGAAAGGTGCTGGCGTCCAGGTCCCCTCCCTGCACGTACACCTCCCACTGTTTATACCAGTGTTGCTCCACAAGGAACCTGGGGCCCAGACAGGCAACAATAGTGTCACATGGTTGTCTGGGGGCTAGCTGTACAACTTCTTTTCACTAGGAGATTTAAACTATCAACCCATTATAATTCAAGATGAAAAGTTTCAGTGGAATATAAAAAATAAAGTAAAATTTATTTAGCACAACTCAGATTTGGATATTAGATAACTCATTCTTAGGATACTGAAAGAGATTTGGTTAAGACTGAAAATGTAAGCTAGACTTAGGGTACCAATGTGATCCCAGCATTTGAGAGGCTGAGGCAGGAGTATCACTTGAGCTCAGGAGTTCAAGCCCAGCATGGGCTACATAGCAAGATCCTGTTTTGGAGAGAAAAAAAAAAGACTAAAAATGTGCTCAACAATGGCAAACAAATGAAAAACCCACATCCATAGTGCTGGGGGGGAGGGGAGCTAGGGCATGGCTCAAGTGGTAGAGCACCTGCCTAGGAAGCTTGAGGCCCTGGGTTCAAATCCCAGTACCACCAAAAAAAACTTGATAGTACTGGGAAATGTGAAGTTTTATAGAATAAAAGATAATTCATTTCTATTAGTCTTTAGGATAACAGTTAAATTAGGCTCGGAATATCTGTCATTTACAGCTTATATTTTTTTTGCAGTACTGGTAACTGGGGACCAGGGCCTTGTGTACGCTAAACCAAGCACTCTGTCACTGAGCTACATGCCCAGCCTTAATGTGCACCCTTTATTTTCTTGGTGGAACTGGGGTTTGATCTCAGGGCCTCATGCCTGCTAGGCAGGCACTCTAACACTTGAGCCACTCCACCAGCCCTAATTGTGTGATGGACATTTTTGAGATAGGGTGTCAAGAACTATTTGCCTGGCTGGCTTTGAGCCATGATCCTCCTGATCTCTGCCTCCCAAGTAACTAGGATCATAGGTGTGAGCCACCAGCACCCTGAGATGTGCACCATTTAAAAAAGGCTAGATCAAGGGAAACAAAAATTCTTCAGCTAAGAAATGGATTTGGTGAGCCCGGTGCGGTGCTGCACACTTGTAATCCTAGCACTCAGGAGGATCTCAAGCTTGAGGCTAGCCTGGGCTACAAAGCAAGGCCTTGTCTCAAAATAAAATGGATTTGATAATTTTTGAAAATCTGCTCAGAAACTGAAAAGAATTTAAAGTGTTAAAAACCCTAAGGCTTTCCTTTAAAAACCAAATGCTGCCATGCCTCATCAGTTTTGATTTAGGATTTATTCTGGCTTTTTTTTTTAAACTAGAGGCACAATGGTAAATTTTATTAAATAATATATTTGCAGCCAGAAAATCTTAGCAATTGTTTAATTGTTTTTTTATTTACCTTTATAAAAACTGGGACATATTTGTGTATCTTTATGGAGTACATTATGATAATTCAATACATGTATATAACGTATAATGATTATTTTGTCTTTACAGTAGACTTCTGAGCTTATGACTCTTTTTGAAACTGTGGTTAAAAAACGTGATAAAAGTCAACATCCATTTTTTCCATGTACAGTTCAACTAGCTATTATTATTATTATTGTTATTGTTTTTCTGAGACAGGATTTATACAGCCCAGGCTGGCCTCAAACTCTCAATTCTCCTGCCTCCCTCACCTGAGTTCTGGGATTATTGACGTGTGCCACCAGACCTGGCTCTGCTATGAATTTTTGACACACAAAAGGCTACCTCAAACATTTAACAGTTTCTAGTAGGGTATGGTGGTGTACGCTTGTAATCCCAGCACTAGGAAGGCTGAGGCAGGAAGATTGAAACTTCAAAGCCAGCCTGGGCTACCCTGTCTCAAAAACAAAAAATACATGCACATATACATATATATACACGTATGTACGTATGTATATTCAGTAGCTTCAGATAAACTCTTTAACATTGTATACATTGGATTTCCAACAATTAACCTTATAAATTTGATTTTATGTGAGTGCTGGGCATTGAACCCAGGGCCTCACACTCCCAGCCCAAGTGTGATTCATTAGCATGTCAATTTTTCATTCATAAAAGAATTGCAAAGGTAGGGGATGGAGCGCTATAGAAACCTTGAAATAGCGACAAGTCACCTGAATAGAGCAAACATTTCTGTGGAATATGCCAGTTTTGTTTTTTGGTGCACTGACCCCCACAGACCCTGGCATATTACTGATGTCAGGGAAACACCCTCCCACCTGGTGGCTCATGCCACAGACACCAACCCCTTAGTTTGTCCATCCTACTCTGAACCACACACACCTTCACCCCCCTTCCTCCATAGTCCATTATGAAGTTCACTTGCTCAGAAGAGCTAACTTATGGTTAATGGTACCTTTAACGCATAGGGAGACACTGTTCAACATAAGAGCAGATTTTTTTAAAGAAAAATTTAACATTAAAATCACCTTGCAGCAAAACTTGCAGACCTGGCTCCAACTTGAAAAAAATATTTTTGCAGGTATAGCACAGTTAAATTAGGCTCAATATATCTGTCACTTATTTGCAACTAATATTGTAAGGCTTTAGCCATTTTCTCCCCCAGGTGCTGGGGATGGTATCCTAGGCCCTGAACACGTGAGGCAAGCATTCTACTTTGAGCTATATCCCCAGCCTCTAACCTGATTTTGTAAAGGCTTCATTCATAGTGAACCCAAGTTTTATATAAATTTTCACAAAATACTGCCACCATATTGCTTAAATGCAAAGGCACTTAAAAAAAAACATTGTAACACCTTAGAAATTAGGAAGTCTCACAATCTGTCAAGCCAGGTGGCAGTCATAACAAAGGTGTCACTTCTAAGTTTTTATTTTTCTAATTTCTTGTTGCTAATACATGGAAATGCAACTAATGTTGCTAAAGTTACTTGTGCTTATTTGTGCTTTCTCAAATTTGTTAAAATATGTAATAAGTGCTTATGGAAAAACACTACAACTCTATTCACTGCTCTCCAGTTTTCTCTTGTATCTGGAGAAAAGAAAATCAGTTATTTTGGTTAAGCTAATAACTGACATAAATGGCTAATTATACTAAGTACAATAATTACAGAACCAGAAATACGGATATAAGGTAAGAAGTATTTTCTACTTGTTTATTAAAATGTTAGTTCATTAATGGGACTGGAGGTGTGGCTTAACTGGTAGAGCACCTGCCTAGGAAACTCGAGGCCCTGAGTTCAAACTCCAGTTCCACCAAAAAAATGTTAGTTCATTCAGACCGTAAAGGTAATACAAGGTAACACTGTTCTACTTAAATTTATTATTTCTTTATCTATATAAGCCTAAATACATGCAGCATATAAAGGCATGTTAATAGATCCTTTACTAAAAATTATTCCATGAACGGACCAAAAGAGGAAAATTAGAATTTGGGCTGGGCGCAGTGAATCACATCTGTCATCCTAACTATTTGGGAGGCAGAGATCGGGAGGATCAAGGTTGGAGGCCAGTCTGAGCAGTTAATGAGACCCCTTCATCTCAATCAATAAGCCAGGCATGGTGGCATAACACCTGTCATCCCAGCTTCTAAGGATGCATTGATAGGAGGATCACAGTCTGAGACAAAAACGCCAAGACTCAACCTGAAAAATAACTAAAGCAAAAAAAGGGCTGGGTTGTGGCTCATTTTTCATTTTGTTTTTTAGAGACGGGGTCTCACTATTTAGCTCAGGCTGGCCTCAAATTCGCAATCCTCTTGCCTCAGCCTCTTGAGTGTAAGGATTACAGGTGGGTTCCACTATGCTCTTCCTTTCTTTCTTTGGGGCTTGAACTCAGGCTAGACAATCTTAATTCATTTTTAAATAGATTCTTTGTTTTAAAAATATAAGTTCCTAATATTCTTTGTTGTTTATCACTTTGGGAGATAACACAAAAATGTATCCCTTCATCCATAACAGGATAATAGAAATAATATTTACTAAAATTCTCCAAATTTGAAGGTCATATGAAAGCTTTCATTTTCCAACTTAGCATTTTTTAAATGACACATAAAGAAGCTTATCTTCCTAGGTAACTAACCATATACAATTCGATATGCTACTACAAATACCGCTTCTCAACATTTCTTGGCTTAACATCCTATGAAACTTGCTTTCCCTTCACCATTCATCACTGTCCCGCTGGTCTGTCACTGTGCACCCAGCCGCCCTCCTTCCTTTTCTTGAACAAGAATCCTGTGATGGCTTACCTCTATTAGGAAGCTATCACAGCCTGCACAGACCTGCCAGAGCCTCCTCAGCTACTCCTGATTTAATTGTGTTTGTAGAAGGTTCATTGTGAGAAAGAAAAACTACAATGTTCAAGGAAGCTATACTATGATAGATTTGGATTTTTCTCCTTTTTTTATGGGGTGATGGTAGGACTGGGGTTTCAACTCAGGGCTCAGTGATTGCAAAGCAGGTGCTCTACTGCTTGAGCCAGTCCTGGATCTACTCTTAAGACATAAACTTCTCCCAGAAACCAAATCAGTTCAGATGACCGAGATTAATTGCCCTTGTTTAGATCTGCCAGCTGATAAAGGACAGGAGGAACAAATATTAATACTGATACAAGGTGTGCGATTTGGAGTTACTTCAGGACTTCAGAAAGCTTTAAAAACACTGTAGCAAACCCACAGAAGATGAAGAGCAAACTAACAGAACCTTGAAATGCTTGCTTCTTACCTAAAGATATAAGCATAAAAAGGTGGCGTTGAGCAAAAACATGTCATAATACCCATAGCAGAGACAAACTGGATTCATTTCTAAACCAAGAGTGGTGTGGTAGTTTTTAGTGAGCTGAAATTCACATAACATAAAATTAATCCATTTTAAAGTAAACAATTCCGTGGCATTTAGTACACTCGCAATGCTGTGTAACCACCACCTCTACCTGGTTCCAAAACATTTTTGTCACCCCAAAAGGAACCCCAGAACTGGTGGGAGAGTTTGACAGCAATGATAGGATTGATTTCATGTCCTATCTACCAATGTCACAACCATGACAAAACCGTAACGGTTAGAAGGGGCAAACCTTGAGGCCTTTTGGTTATTGTTTATTTTCAGGATGGATTTAGGTTTTCTCTTCCTTACTGGAGAGCAAGGATGTAATGGTTTAAAAAAAATGGCTGGTTTTGTATTCCGTATTTGGGGACTCTCAACTTTTCTCCCCAGTAACAGGGATACACATTTCACTGGTACTGCTATTAACTGTTATTAAAGAACTCTGTAAAGTGGGAAACCTTTCCGGAAAAGGCCCTAAGGCTTGATGTGTTTAAAGAACAGCAAGAATCCAAAATGGCTGGCAGTGGCTGGCTCAGCTGGAGAGAGGTGGTAGATCATCAGATTCAAGAAGAATGCTTTAAAAAGAATTACTACTTATGTAAAGAGGAAAATGGTTTGTTCACAGTTGAGAAATCTTGCAGACACAACTGCAACCAAGTAATCAAAGTTAATGTCACAACTGATAAGGGTTCAGAGTATGCATCTGGAATCATTTCATACACAAAGTATGATTTCATTTAAATACTCTCTATATGTAAAAGGAAGGCTTGGACAACAAATACTATTTAGGGATGTATACAGTGGTAGTAAAACATTGAAGCGAATGTTAATTCAAAATTCAAGACGACAGTTTCTCATGCAACAGGGAGGGGAATTTCTATCTGGTAGGGACACAGAAGGATTTCTTACCATAATATTCTAAATTTTAACCTGCGTGATGAATCCACACATTTGTATTTTCTCATTCTTTAACTTTTAAACTTTGAAATAAACTCAACATGGCTAAAACAATACAGACTTCCCTGTAAGCCTTATATCCGGATCTCCACTTGCTCAACCATCATTTCTTCATATGCATTTTGGGGTATTTTTATTTATTTTAAAATTTATAAAAAAATGGGTATTATGGTGTACAGCCTGATGTTTTGATACATGCATACATTGTGAAATAAATCAAGCTAATTAACATATCCATTATGTCACATACTAATCTTTGTTGTGAAAACATACAAAATCTATTTTTAGCAATTTTCAAGTACACAACAGACTGTCATTAATTATAATTATGTTATACAATGGATCACTTGAATTGAGTGTTTCTCTAGTCTAACTGCAATTTTACATCCTTCACATCTCTGTATCTCCTCTTTCTACACATGCCTTTTTACATACGTTATTTTTTCAACCATTTGAGAATAAGTTCCTTACCCCTAGAATTTTCAGTTATTTCCCCAAACCAAGGATACTTTTTCATAACCACAATAAAATGATCATAATCAAGGAAGAATCAAGTAGTAGTATTTTATCTAGCAGCCTTAGTTAAACTTCGCCAATTTTTCCACTGAATTTTAGAGATAATTTTTTTGAGGAAAACCCCTGATTTTTAAAGTAATTTATTTTTTCTGTTCCAGGATTTGATCGAGGAGCACATGCTGCATTTAGTTATCGTGACTTGTTAAACAGCACTAATTCCTTTAATTTGGAATAGTTCTTCAGCCTTGATGACATTTTTGAAGAGCATAGACCATTTAATAAGGTGTCCATCAGTTTGGGCTGTATAAAATGTTTTACACTATAATCTTTGTAGGTCTTATGCATTTCACAATTTAAGAAAGGAGATGCAACTTGGCGAGAAATAAAAAGAACCCAGAAGCAGTAAATTTCATGAAGCACTGATTAGTAAAGAAATTAGTAAAACAAGTCGATTTAACAAGATGTCTTAAGTAACGATTTCCTTCTGATTATAAAAAAAAGTACCAAAACACACAAAAAATTAACATGGAAGACCCTTCCTGTTCCAATCCTTGCACTGCCTCCAGTTCTAGGAAGAAAGCCGGAGCCAGAGTGAAATACCTCTCCACATCACAACTTTGGCTCACTGAAGGCGCCATTTTCTACTTAGGCACCTTCGCTGTTTTTTCTCGGCCTCAGGGCACGCCCCTCGCCTACGTCACAAGCCTAGCCTTGTTCTCAGGCACCTGTCCAAGTAAGCCCTCGCTCCCTCCTCCGCTCCACAGCTATTGGCTACGATGCTGCTCTTCAGGTGACGTCATAACGCTCGCCCAGTTCGCATGTGCCTCTCACCCAACACTATTTCATGTACAGACCACGCCCCCCGCCTTATGTAGCTGAACCCGCCTCGTTCCCAGGTTCCAGGTTCCAGGTTCCAAGACGCAGGCGCTCCACCCCCACGGCCACCTCCCCTCAGGCCCCGCCTCCACCACAACAAACCCCATTTTGTTCTTGGTCGTCAGACTGCACCACTCAGGCCCCGCCTCTTTCCCAGACGCTGCGATTCATTCACAAGCACTTCCCTGCTCTCGCCCGCGGTCCCTGGCCCTTCTCCCGCCTCCGCAGTTGTTCTTCCACAGACATCAGCTTCTAAGTCCCCTTAGCCAAGGCTTCGTTGATGCCCAGCCTCACCAACTTTCGCCAGCTCGCAGTGGACGCTCTCGCCCACTTTCGCCATTCTCGATTTGGCGCCACTGGTCATCCAGGCCAGGCACTGCCTCGCGCTGTGGCTCTCGGTCCGCAGCGGCTGCTGCGACGGCAGCTGCAGCTGAGTCCGCTGCGACCGCCGCCATCGCCGTCCGTCCGCCTCTCACTGCCAACGCACTGAGGATAGGAAGAGGACCCTCAGCTGCCACTTCCGGATTCTGTCCCGGAAACGGAAGCAGAGCCCCCCAAACATCCAGGGGCCTACTGCCATCTTGGAAATGAGTCCTATGCTCGGACGCGTGAAGAACTAGGCGGGAGTGGGGAGGTGGGCAGTGATCTGCGCGACCAATACACGGGGTAAAAGTTCCAGTTGGGAACTAAGAAAAACAATAGTGCCTTACGAGATTCTAACGTCATGTTCAGTTAGGGTAAAAGGTTGGGTGAAAGGTAGAGGTCGAGGTTTCCAAGGTGGATGAAGACATGTTACGCAGTTTCCGTTTTCCCCGCCCTGTGCTTTGGTGAGAACCGCGAACCTCTACCCTGGAAGAGGGATTTTTGTTAGCCTGATCAGAATGCCCTCCTTTCATTGCACAACTCTTCTCATCCATCAAAACCCAACACAAGAGAGGTCACCACCTCCAGAGAGCCTCCTAGGCCCGCGGGCCATTGTTTTCCCTAATGAACTTAGATTATTCGCTAGACAAACGTGATTAAGACAAATTTGCCTGTGTGTGTGTTGTTGGAGTCACATCAGTAACTAGTAGTCTTCCCAGGTAGCAGACATTATCCTTGTCAACAGTGTGTAGCAATGGGGGAAGCTGAGAGCCAGAAATGTTAACTCACCTGTCCCTCAGCTAGACCTGTGATTCCAGTTCAGAAAATCTGGCTCCAGAGTTGTGACCTTAAACAAAAGCCTGGATATTCTCAAACATCCGAGTGTCTGTCAGCCAGGAAACTCTGTCAGGGGGTTCACAAAATCCGAACTATTTTCATAATACATACCTTTCCACTTTAATTCTCTCATGGGGCTGGGCGTCAGTGGCTCATGCCCTAATCCTACCTGCTTGGGAGGCAGTGATCAGGAGGATAGAGGTTCAAGGCCAGCCGGGGCAACAGAAGCGAGACCCTTTCTCAAAAATACCCAACACAAGAGATTTGAAGTGTGGCTCAAGCGTCTACCGCATGCTTTGCAAGAGTGAAGCTGAGTTCAAACCACTGATCCACCAAAATAAATAAAGTATCAAAAATACCCAACACAAAAAAGGGCTGGCAGAGTGGCTCAAGAAGTTGAGCGCCTGCCTAGCAACCGTGAGAAAACCCCAGTAACAATAATTCTCTCATGTATGTATGGTGGAATTATCCAGAGGCTATCTTGACAAAAGCAAAAGCTCTTTGGATATTCTCAATTCTTTAAGAATATAAAGGAATCTTGCTGGCGGAGTGGCTCATGTGGTAGAGTGCCTGCCTAGCAAGTGTGAGGCCCTGAATTCAAGCCCTGGTGCCACCAAAAAAAAATAAATAAAAAAGGCTGAAAATCTTGAAGGTTATTTAGCCAGGCGCTGGTGGCTCATACCTATAATTCTAGGAGGCAGAGATCAGAATAGCAGTTAGAAGCCAGCCTGGGCAAATACTTCATGAAACCCTATCTTGAAAAAAAACCCTTCACAAAAAAGGGCTGGTGAAGTAGCTCAAGGTGTAGGACCTGAGTTCAAACCCCAGTATGGCTAAATAAATAAATAAATAAATAGATCTTAAAACCAAAAGTTCAAGAACCATTGCACACACTAGGCCAGGGTTTCTTAAACCTCAGCACTACTGTCATTTTTTTTGTTGTGGGGAGCATTGCATCCCAACCCCTATCAATAGATACTGGTGGCACCCATCTCTCTTTAGACATTACCAAATGCCCTGGTGTGTGTGTGTGTGTGTGTGTGTAATTGTCTCTGGTTCAGAACCACCCCACTAAGCTGCTACCCTTTTCTCTGCTAGGGCTCCGCAGCTCTTATTGGTTGGCTTCATCTACCAGCTTATCTCTACATAGTGGCCTTTCTACAAACTACCCAAGACAGGCTCATCATGATTTGGGGGCTGTTTCAGTTACTTTCTTCACTATTACCACACAGTCCCCACAGGCAACAAACTGCCTTTTCATACCCTTAAGCCCCTGTGATTACAGGTCTGCCGCCTTGCACAATGTCAGTCCTCCCCACCTTCATATAACCTCATCATTTACCTATTGGAGGAGGCTGGGGTTTGAACTCAAACCTTCACGTGTGCAAAGCAGGTACTCTGCAGCTTGAGCTACCTCTCCAGTCCACTTTTGCTCTGGTTATTTTGAAGATGGGGGCTCACAAGCTGCCTGGGTTGGCCTTGATCGAGATCCTCCTGATCTCAGCCTCCCAAGTAACTAGGATTACAGACGTGAGCCACCAGTGCCCAGCTACTATTTACCTACTTTCAGTTAACCTCTGTGGGGCAGAATGTGTATTCTGTAATTCCAACCCTCAACCCAGACCTGGCACAGATAAAGGGTCACAACTCAGTTGTTTAAGCCCTGAGAGAAAAAAAGAAACAGCTCTTCCACTTGTGGGCCCCCAAAGAATGTGGCATTTGAAATGGGTCTATCCAAGAGATGGCACACCAACTCTGCTGAGGTGTTTGTGGTAGTTCCAGCCCTGTTACAAGAAAACAAGCAGGGTGTGCTGCTTTCCTATCTTTGGGACACCACAGCCACTGTGGCAGCCTATGGCTGTAGGCTGGGATATCAGTGCTTACAAGGACACAGCAGTGACTAGAGGTTCACAGGCCACCACTGCTGAGCTTCAGTAAACATCCACTTAAACTTGCTAGAACTTGCATTTGCCTGGCTCTGCCCACCCCACCTGTGTCTATTATTGGCTTTTCCCAAGATGGTGGGATGGGAGCTAGAATTCACAGAAGACATTAAAAGCTTCAACTCATACCTGAGGGCAAGTCCTAAGCTGTGCCATTTGGCTTCTGGCCTCTCAGAAACCATTGCATCCTTCCCAGGGTTATCTCACCCATGTCCATGGTTTCCATTACTTCATGGACACCAGTACCAAACTTCTAGCTCCATCTTTGGCCCTACTCCTGAACTTGATCCGTGTTAAAGGATTCCTCCATCTGCTCAGTGGTCCAAAATCCATCCTTCTTTCATTCTCTCTCCACACCTTCCAGCCCCTACCCTGTCAGGCTTCCTCATATCCCTAGATAAACCTTGCTCCTCAGCCTGAGTCTCAGCCTATCACTACTTTTCAGGCCTGTCCTAGTATTGCTTCAACTTCATGCTCCGCCATCCTGTGTGAAATCCCTAAGGCCTTTTTCATAGTCTTGCTATGTCCCTGGATGATGGGACCAGGTATGAATTTGCCAAGGTCTCAGCAATCACCCCAGCTCAAGCCCCCTTGCCTTTATAGGGATGTGCAACTCAGACTTTTCAGTTTAGACTTTTTAATATTTCATACAGCGATTATGGTGCATTCAGGAACCCAACCCCCCAAACCCCACTAGGAGGGCTCCCTCCCTTGCCCTCCCACCCCATTTAAGGGCCCCGGAGCTTAGGGTGGAGGAAGGGGAGGTAACCACCCATCCAGGACTGACCCTGGAGACTGTCCCTGCCCTGCCCCACCCTCCCAGGGGTTAGGGGCAACAACCGGTAACAAACCCCCACATGCCCCTCTGTCCCTGCTTGTGCACATATACACACTATGGCTGCTCGCTGAGTTGGTCAGTTCCTGGCAGGGCCCCTACTCAACAGCACCAAGAGGGACAGGGCAGGAGGGCCAGGCTGGGGAGACCCTGAGAAGGAGGCTCCGGCTATGGGACTGCAGAAGGGAGAGAGTGGACCCCACCCACCATGTCCATCTCCCAGAGTCTCCAGTCATTCCCAGATCCTGCAGTGACTGGGAATGTCAGGCAGAGGAGGAAGGCGAGTAGCCGAGGCATGCTTTCCCATAGCCGATCCCAGGGTCTGGTGATGATCAGGGTTCTGAATAGGGGCTGTGTCCCTGCCTCTGAAAGGCTGGGAGTGGGGCTTCATTGCACAAAATACTGTGGGAGGGCCACACGCAGGGGGTGGGACCCAGCCAGTCTGTATACAGAGATATTGCATTTAAAAAATGAGAACCTCATTTAAAATAATAAAAAAAAAAAACAATGAATGAAACAAACAAAAAAGAAGGCCTACACAACATGAGGCAGGTGGAATAGGCAGGAAAGCAGGCAGAGGACACCTCAGACCCAAGGCATCGCCACCTTCTTGTCTGAGTTGAGAGTCCCAGCCTGGGCTAGCTCCAGAGCCCTGGCTGGCCGTGGGGTAGTGGTCCTGGGGGGAGGGGTATGATGACGACGGGTAGGCCTAGCCTCAGTGTGGGAGGCTGGTATGGCCATGCTGTCCGCCGGCAACTACCAACACACAGAGACAGACCAAACAAAGGAGTGATGAGAGCTTTGTTAGCACCCAGCAGACAGGCCAATGGGTAGGTTGACAGGCCAATGGTCAGGTGTTTGTGCAGATGGTAGGGATAAGTGGGCAGGACAGCGTGGCTCAGGCAGGTAGGCAGGCAGCAAGCAGGGAGGATGCAGTTGGGGGGGCTGCCCTGTTGAGGGGTGTGGCATCCCTCCAGCTGCTGCCTGCTGGGACCTTGGTCTGTGGCCTAGAACTTGGCTTAGAACTCGGTGTCCACCACACGAAAAGCTGGCCTGCCTGCAGGGGAAAGCAGAGCAGACGGCTGTTGGTCAGCAAGCAGGCAGGTGGGTGGGGCAGGGGGAGGGGAGGGTCACACTTACCTGAGTCAGGCATAGATGAAGACCTAAGGTTAGCCTCCTTTTGTAGCTGGATCTCCTTTAGTGCAAATATGGAAGTAGCTGTGGATAGAGCAGACACAGAAGTGGGGGATGACCCATGGAGCCATCCAGGATTACCTCCCACATAGCCCCACTGCAGGAATTAGAACAAGTTGCCCCTTCTTTGAAAGGCTTGACTCATGTGTGAAATAATTCCATACAATGCTGGCAAAGTGGCTCAAGCAGTAAGTGCCTGCCTGGCAAATATGAGGCCCTGAATTCAAACTCCAGTGCCACAGGAAAAAAAAAAAAAGAAGGTTTTTTTCTTTTTAAGCCAGATGCTGGTAGTCCTAGCTATTCAGGAGGTGGAGATCAGACCCTATCTCAAAAATCCCCATCACAAAAAAGGACTGGTGGAGTGGCCCAAGTTGTGGGCCCTGAGTTCAAACCCCAGTACCAAAAAAA